ACAAATTCTTCAAATTGAAAACTGCATCATCATATATATATATATATATATATATGATCTATTTCTTCAAAAAATTCGAAGTTTGTATGATGCAAGCTTTGCGTTTTGGCACGGTTTCGGGCGTTGGAATAATACTGCCGGTAATCGTTTTATTCTGCTTCTGTTTGGCCATCTGGTAATCGCCCGAATCGAAATATTTGTAACCCTTATTCAAACGCTTCTGCAGAAATATTGAGCTTCCATTTGGTAAGCCCATTGGATATTTTGCAATTAGCTTTGACTCCTCCAATTTCTCCAATTGGGAATTAATATGGTTCTGATCCATGCTGATTTATCAAATATATACCTACATATCAATATATATATATATATATTTACCTATATATAAATATAATGCTTTACAATGTTGGGGAATACCTCGTTGGCCTCGAAAGTTTTGAAACGATTTTAGTTTAAATTTGTGAGTTGAATTGTTTCGAATGCGTTTGAAATGTTTTTGACAAAAAATGCGAGAAAAATGTGTTTATTATCATGAATATAAAAGGTCAAATCGAGGCCTACGAGGCATAATCGATTTTCGATTTGTTTTTATGTTATAAAATGAAAAAAATATAAATAATAAAAGAACCTGCGAGCGCTAAATAACCAAGTTTTTTCACTTTTTCTTAAAAATTGTTGTATAGCTAAATGTTTAATTTATAAAGTACAAAATATTGTATACCCTATTGCGTTATCTAACTGCAGGGTATTCGTAACGAGCAACAGCAGTGGGAAAGTAAATTTTATTTTAAAATAAATTTATCGCCTTATCCCGTTGTCCACGGCAGCCACGGGACATAACGGGACACACACAGGAGTCGGGCAAAGTCAAGTTTCTTTTTTTGTCTCTTTGTTGATTTTGGTTGCAGCCAACTGGCCCATAGCGCCAATTGCAGGGAACCAACACATGCCACAGCTATCCAGCTCACCTGCCCAGTCCACCTGGACTGAACCCCCAACCAGCTGGCCGCACGCAGCGCTTCATTTGAACGAAATGAAATCATAATGAGATTTTCGTTCTTTTTTTTTGTACTAAGTCGAAAGGGGGGTGGGGCTGAGGGCGTGGCTTGGGCATTGCCATGGACGCGGCATAATGACAAAAAATTCATAATTGGATAAAGATGCGAACGTGTGCGAGCTACTGCTACTGCTGCTGCTGCTGTGCTGTATGTATGTGTATGTTGTGTTGTGTTTAGCTATTAAAATCAGAGTCATAAAGCTAGCCAAAAGCTTGAGAGCGCTTTAAAGCTAAAGGCAACATATAAACATAAACACATACACACACCTCACAGACACACACATGTGGGTGTGTGAGTGTGTGTTGTTTGGCTCATTTGTCAGTTCGTTCGCTTGGATAATTGTCCTGCGATAAACAAAATTAGCAGCAATTTAAGCGAATATAGCTAAATGCCAACCGACAAAAGGACATCGACAGGCGACAAATGCCATCAGCACACACACACACAAATACACACGCATACACCCTCAATTTATAGCTATGCCTGGATATTCATGTGCCTGCTGTCGCCCTGCGACGACATTAGTTATAGTTTTGATGAGTGGCATTAATGAGTCGTCTCTATGTCTGCAACTGTCTAACAGACACAAGCACACACATACAGTTAGTGTCTTTCTGTGTCGCCTTTTGTCTTTTTTGCTGCAGGGGTTTGGGCGCTGACATTAATGACACCCACACATGGCATCCAATTTGACAGGCAACATGAGCAAAATTAGTGAAAATCACAATCGCAACTCGCTAACCCCAGTCAGCTCTATAGGCTCACACTACTCACACTTACACACTACTCTCACGCTGCCCTTCTCTCACTCGCTCTTTGTCTTTCTATATGCTGGGCCTTAAAGCACTTTTTTTACTACACTTGACGTTCTGTGACTTCTGCCAGCTGCTACTGCTGCTGCTGACCAATCCGAGGGGGTTGGGTTTGACTTTGGGTGCCGATAACTATCGACAGCAGCCGATACTGGCAACAAGGCATGAGTTATTTATGGCTTTTAAGCGACAGCTACAGCTACAGCTAAAATCTTTCAAACACTACTTACCCCACAAAAAAAAAAAACAAATAAATAACGGAAAAAGCAAGCTCAAGACTTACTGCCCAGTGCAAAGACGTTGGCTTTTTTACGGCTAAATCTCAGCGAGCAAATGACTCTTTCAATAACTCTAGCTCTAGCTATTTCTGTTTTATTTTAGTTAGCTAGCCAGATTTTATCTTTAAGCAGGCTAGAAATTTATTCAAGAGTCACACAAAAAGCCATTTAGTATTATTTATTAATATATACTAGTTTCTATTCATAATTTTATAATATTTGTTAAAATAATGTTAAGTGTATTTAACCTAATGCTTAATTCTTAAATTACACACTTTAGCTTGCTGAGTGTCTAGTATGCATAACTAACCGTTTTCTGGCCAACACTGATATGGCAGCACTGTGGCAGGCGCCTTAACAGTTAAACAGCAGGGCAGCCGGGCGAAGGCCTGTCAACTCACATATGGAGATTTATTTGCAGCACATTCGAATGTTAAGCGCATTTGTAAGCATTTTTAATAGAGTCCGTTGATACCAGCGGTAGCGGGTCGTCGGTGAGTTAAGTGCTAGCAGTGTATGTGTGCGTATGTTTGAGTCCACTCTGCCAGGCAAGGCCTTGTCTCCGTCTCCCACCAGCGACGACATATCTAGCTGTCAATTGCCCTCGTTTGCCCTTCAACAAATTTGGCTGATTGTGATTTAAGGCTGCGATTGTAGCTGACATAATCGAAATGTCAGAGATCAGAAATCGAATTAGAAGTGAATTTATTTATATTGTATATATTTTTCTTTTTTATAAGTTTATTTGAGTTAGATTTGTGGGACAAGTTATAAGATGAGCAACTGATAGTCAAAACAAATCGAATTTAATATAATATAGGATATAAATATATATAATATACATATGTCAAGTATATACAGATAGCTTTAAGCGCCTTTTATTCTAAATTACTTGACGACATGTTAAATTGCTGTAATTTTCAAGACGATAACACATTTAAACTTTAAGCAGAAGCTTTATGGCTTAATTTTTAGCTTTAAACAGAGACAGCGCAGCGGGTGGCAACGGGCGGACGACGACAGGCACGTATGCATATTTGCAAAAAACATCTGGCAACGCTGCTTAAGCAGACAACAGACAACAACACCGCAGAGTGCCAACTACATGCGTGCAATAAAAACATAGCCAAAAGCTACAGCAAAAACAAAAAAAATAAGAAATGAAGCAAAACGAAAAGAAAAACAAAACAAAAACTAGACAAGCAGCGCTGCTTGCTATGTGCGTATGGCGTGTGTTGGTGTGTATTTTTAGCTTAATTTTATTATAAAGCGCAGCGTGTGCAGGAGTAAGAGCAAGAGGACGGTGCCCGAAAGCCGCTCCCGACACTGATAAGCCGGCAACGTCTTGTGACTTTGACTTTAATGACTGGATTTATAGGTCCTTGGAGATAATCTCGGCCAGCGAGCGACACACAGCAGCAGCGCTGCCGGCGGCGACTGCTGCTATTTTGTTTACCAAGCGTCAGGCCAAAATTTTGCCAGCGTCTCGCATTGAGCGAGATCCTGTGTGTGAGAGAAAGAGAGACAGAGAGGGAGAAGCAGGAGATACTATAGCGCTAAGGACGTCGTCGTTGTTACAGGGTAATTAACATCAAAGCCCGACAAAGCTCATAAAAAGACGGCGAGATAAACATACGCACACAGTGAGTGAGAGAGTGAGGAGTGGGAGAGAGACGCACACATGGGACATAGTACGTGGTGGACGTGCATAGTAAAATCAGCGGGTGGGAGTAGAACGACTATGTAGGGGGAGGGTCATCAACTTGTCTGCCAAGTGGCAGCACTGTGCGGCGAATTGGCGACGAAACGCTCAACGTGAAATAATGTTGACAGCGACAAAAAAAAAGGATGCGCTGCCAAGCAGTAGACACACACATGCACACGGACACACATAGCAGACAATGAGCGTGCACGCACATGTTTGAAGCAATTAAAATCAGATAAGTTATAGAAAATGGCCTGTCGTCGACATTTAGACATGCCACTGTCACAGGAGTAGCCCTGTCCCCCTCCCTCTCTCTGTTTCTCTCTCTCTCTCTCTCTCTATATCAAACTGTCTGTGCCGTCTTCCGTTACGTTTGTCACGGCTGCCATTGTCTCGTGCCTTGTCTGCCATGCTGCATGTGCCGTTGCTTCTGCATCCGCCCGCCGCCACGCCCCGCCTTACCTAATGAATTTCAACAAGCGGCAATGCGACGAGCCAAAGTGACAGCCAAACGAGCAGCAGCAGCAACTGCCACTTGCCACACGCACACGATAGACACACACACTACACTACACCCACATAGGTGTGAAATATTTTTGGGTTCAAATGCTGCCAACAACAACAGCAAGCAAGAAGCAGTTGAAGAATCCGCAAAGGCAGCCAAAGCAAGCATTCAACTGTTCATTCGTATGTCCTATACACAGACCCAACGCCTGCCACTTAGCCACGCCCCTTTCACACACACATACAGAGAGCAACTGCGCTCAGCCGCATCCGCGGCATCTTCAGCTGATGTATTCATGGCCTTGACGTTAACGGAGTGACAAAATTCGCACCCTTCGCTCAAGTGTAAATGGCAAAAACCCAAAAGAAACACGAAAAAATAAGAGAGTTCGCGTGGGGAGTGACCGACTAAGCGATGCACTGCACCATCATAATTATTAGCATTAATTTTTATTAGCATTGTCATTGTCATTGTCATTGTCATTGTGATTGTCATTGTCATTGTCATTGTCATTGTCATTGTCATTGTCATTGTCATTGTCCTTGTCATAAACATAATTTAGCATTAGCATTAGCATTAGCATTAGCATTAACATTATCATTAGAATTGTCTCTATAATTAGGATTTTCATCATTTTATAATATATAATATAATACGTGGTATTACGAGTTTCTCGGGCTCTGCAACAAAAGGATAATACCCTACGTTAGAGCATTAAAATCACGTTGAAATATTCGCACGCCCCGTTAGCACATTGTTGTGTGTGGGAGTGAGAGCAAACGGGTGGATGTAAGTCCTCTGCTTCTGCTGGAAGTCGGGTCTGTGGCTCCATTGTGCACTTAAGACATTTGGCGTGCTTAACGCGCACGCGACATTTGGACAACACGGCAGAGATATTTCGAATGCCAGTTCATAATTGTAAACAGCCAAGGAGGAGGAGGAGGAGGAGGAGGAGGAGGAGTTCTTGCCGCCAGCCGAAGCAGCGGTTGGCTCCATCACAGTATTAACTCGGCGTCCCGCACGGGGTAAAAACCATTTAAAACTAGAAATTTGCGAATTTTACTATAGGTCAATCAATCAAAATTTCAATTTACATATTATTTGTGAAAAGGTTATCTATATAATGGCTTAGAGTTCTTCAACTGCTTCCTCTTGCGTCATTTGGTGGGACGGGCCAAAGTTTTCGATTCGGAATTTGTGAAAAAAATAAAATGGGAAAACAAAAGCTTTTATCGTTCGGATTGAATAGATGCGGCTATACGGCGAGGTCTTGAAACGGGAAGCAGATGCAAATACAAATTTCAGACTGTTAAAAGAGCTCAGCATTACCTTATCCAGCACTGATGGATCGGCTATTGATGCCTGTCGTGTGGTTCGTAGCCCGTTTCGGTTAGTTCCACAAGGCTTTTGCCATATGGTTCCATATCGCTAGACTGATGACGCGACTCCAGGGTCTTATGACTGGCTTTAGAGGTTAGGTTCGGCTTCGGCTTGCCATCGAGACAAGCTTCGGGTAGATTCAGTTGCTCGGCTATGAAACGCTACATGGAAAGCGATTAGGCTGCGACTAGGACTAGGCCTGGGCGTGAGCGGATCTGGATCTGATCGACCTACCCCATTCAGGTCCAGGCTGGCCTTGCTCTTCTTGAGCACACCGCACAGACCCTCCTGTGACATGCCCATATCCATGCTAACTGTATATGCAATGAAAATTTTGAGACTTTCGAAAAACTTAAGGAATTTAAAAAAAAAATTGTTAAATTCAAAAATTATTTACAAATCGAAATAATTTTTGGACTGCTTGAAGGGAATAATATTTTTGATTAATTTTATGGCACAGCCCAAGCCCACTACGATGACGTGCCCAATCAAGGGGCGAGCTTGGAGCTGGAAGCTTGTCTTCGTTGCGGCTGCTCCTTGGGGGCGATTGCTGGCACTTGATGCTTAGCGCCCTGTTGGGCACTCAACAGGGCGTGGCCCAGCTGCCAGCCAAAAAGAGCTCATTATTGTTGTTGTTGTTGTTGTTGCATTGTTGTTATTGTTGTTAATCCAAATGCCAGGCATTCGAATGCACTCGCGCGTACCCAAGCAGCAGCCCCCAACAACCAACCCCCACCCCATCCCCCATCGCCCATCCCGCCCGAAGACCCAACCCCGGCAAATGCACTTGACTTGAAAAGCCAAATGCACAACAACAGCAACAAAGCCGAGCAAAAAATGGGCGCAGCAAAGAGAGGGAAAGCGAAAGCCATTCACGGTGCCAGCGCACATGCCACGCCCCAGCCCGCCTACTACGCCCCCCTCGGCCGCTTGTTAGCCAACGCAACAAAAGAGAACTTTTTGAGTTATTGTTTGGGATCAGGATCTTGGCCAAAATAAATATTATGGTAGGCTTCAATCTGTGCCACGTGTGTGTGGAAGAGAGAGGGAGAGAGAGAGAGAGAAAGACAGAAAAAGAGAGACAGAGAGATGAGAGCAAAAGACAGAGCACCACAGATTTTGATTTGAAAGTTGAGCTATGAAAAGACAAGAGATGGAGAGAGAGGGAGAGAGAGAGAGAGAGTGGGAGAGAGAGAGAGAGAGAGAGAGATAAGAAGAGAAGCAGATTGGAAGAAGAGATAAGAATATGAGAGAGTATGTCTGATGTCGAAGAGAAGAAAATATGAGAAAGAGAGAGAAGAAAATGATTGGAAGAGAGAGAGAGAGAGAAATTAGAAAAAAAAGAGATGAAGAGGTTTTAAGAGAAAGAAAAATGATTCAAAGAGAAAGAATGAGAGAGAGGAAGAGATAGAGAGAGAAAGAATGAGAGAGAGCAAGAATGAGAGAGAATTAGATAGAGAGAGAGATAAGGAATGAGAGAGAAAAAGAATGAGAGAGAGAAAGAGAGAGAAGGAATGAGAGAGAGAAAATGAGAGAGAAAGAGAATGAGAGAGCGAAAGAGATAGAGAGAAAGAGAGAAGGAATGAGAGAGAAAATGAATGAGAGATAGAAAGAGAGAGAGAGAAGGAATGAGAGAGAAAAAATGAGAGAGAAAGAATGAGAGAGAAAAAGAATGAGAGAGAGAAAGAGATAGAGAGAGAGAGAGAACTAGTTCAGCTCGAACATAAAATGAGATTTGATATGAATGAATGTGACTAGAGATAGACTCTATGGCTCTATAGAACAGTGTGTGAGTGTGAGTGTGTGTGAGTGTGTGTGTGTGTGTGTGTGTGTGTGTGTGTGTGTGTGCTGCTGTCTGACTTTGACTGCATTCCATTCGAATCTATATTAAATCGTGCTGAATAACGAAGTTTGACAGCAGCTCTTAGCAAAGGCAAAGCATGTGTGTGTGTGTGTGTGTGTGTGTGTGTGTGTGTGTGTGTGTGTGTGTGTGTGTTTCACTGTGTGTAGCATCAGCTGCCACAACTAATTAGCTGTGGCCCATATGCATTGGCAGCGGGCGTTAATGGAGTGCGTAAATGGGTTAATTTTTTGTGTGGATAGTAGAGAGAAAGAGAGAGAGAGAGAGAGTAAGGGAGAGAGAGAGCCAAGGGGGCGGAATTGAGAAAGGGCGTCAGGCGTTGCTTGGGGCGTGTCATGGAACGTGTTGCTGCGTGTCATGCCGCGCGACGTGCCGCAAGAGCCGCCAAAGCTGATGACAAGTTAATCACATCGTGTCCAATCAGGCGAGCTAATCCCAGCCCCCAGCCCCAGCCCCTGCAGAGGCTATCTATCTGACTATACATATTTTTATTATTATTACTATGAATGACGCTTAAAATGCACAGCTGTCCCCCACGCACCCCTCGACGCCGCAGCGGCAACACGCAACAGCTGCTGCATATCAATTTATAGAGCTCCAGGAGTTGGAGTTGGAGTTGGAGTTGTCCATGTCCTTGTCGTTGGGCAATTCCGGCACCGCAGCAAAAGTTCTGCTCGTGCGTCCTGCGGCTTAGAGTCTAAGCCCGATCCGGACATTGGACCATTTGCATTTGGTATTTGGACATGTTTCAACATCCCATCGACAGCACCAAGGACTTGGATAAGGACATAGCCGTGGATAAAGATAAGCGACTTTTTGCTAGTGGCCAATTATCGCTTAAGCCGCTGCGTTTTGGCATATTTTAAAGTTCCATTTTTAGCTGTTTTCAAAAATTTCGTTTAAATTCCATTGCCATTGAGGCGGCTTTTGCCTCGACGACCCAGCCACCCCTCTCCCGTCAACCCCCTTCCAAACAGCCCTTAAAACCTCAAAGCCAAACAAGACGTAAACTCACAAAGGTTTGGCGAAGGCAACGCAAGAAATACCCTGTAAAAGGACAATCAACAGGTTGATCCAAGAGAGAGAAGCAACGGGAGAAGTTAAGGCAGGCAGAGGGCGAGGCAGGGTAGATGGCGGCTAGGCAAGCAGCTCAGGAAGAAGCTCAGCTTACAAAATGCAAAGCGAGAAGCTAAGCTAAAGGGACAATTAAGCTGAGAAGGGAGAAACTAAGAGAAGCTGTGCTTAATATGAAACGAATAATAAGTGAGAAGTTACGAATGAAGAAGTTAAGCGAGAAGGTAGAGTGAAGAAGTGAGAAGCAAAGAAAGAAGAGAAGTGAGATGCAAAGTGAGAAGCAAAAATGGAAGAAAAGTGAGAAACAAAGTGAGAAGCGAAGTGAGAAACAAAGTGAGAAGCACAGTGAGATGTAAAGTGAGAAGCAAAGTGAGAAGCGAAGTGAGGAGCAAAGTGAGATGTAAAGTGAGAAGCGAAGTGAGAAGCAAAGTGAGATGTAAAGTGAGAAGCGAAGTGAGATGTAAAGTGAGAAGCAAAAATGGAAGAAAACTGAGAAAAAAAATGTAAAGCGAGAAGCGAAGTGAGAAGCAAAGGGAGAAGCAAAATGAGATGTAAAGTGAGAAACAAAGTGAGAAGCAAAGTGAGATGTAAAGTGAGAAGCAAAGTGAGAAGAAAGGTAAGAAGCAAAGCAATAACAGAAGAGAGAAGCAAAGTAAGAAGCAAAGTGAAAAGTAAAGTAAGAAGCAACTGAGCAGCAAGATAAGAAGTAAAGGTAAAACAAAAGCGAGAAGCAAGATGAGAAGTAAAGTGAAAAAAATAATGAAAACAAACAAAAGGCAAACAGCAAAAGGCGAAGCGAGAAGCTAAACACAAAAGGAAGTAAACAGAGAAGTAAAAGCGAGAAACTTGAAGTAAAGACAAAAGCTGCAAAGTCCAGCAACAAAAGAAAGAGCAAATGAAAGTGCTAGCAGTGCATACCCGGTCCAGCCCAGCACAGGGTATATGCCACAGCGAGGCGGAGCGGCATGGGAAAATATGCAGTAACCGCGAAATTGAAATTTTGGCTTCGGCTTCGGCGGCGGCAGCAGCGGCGGCTTCTTTGCATTGTTTGTATTATATTTTTATTTTTTTTTTTTTGTTGGTTCGACAAACGGACGGCTCGGGCTGAGGCTCAGGCTCACCACCTGATCCTAAGTAAATACAAGGATGCCAACAAGCTAACAAGACCAGGGACAGACATGCATGTGACTATATATACACCTCTCTCTCTTGCTCTCCCGCTCTCTCTTTCTATAAATTTCCACTTTTTTATTATGCGTCGCGCTTTTCTTTTTTAATTAAATGAAACCAAAGGAATTGACCCAAAATGCAGAATAAATAAATACAGCAAAGGCAAGTTGAGGGCTGGGCGTGGCCCGCATATTTTTCTAAGCAACTGCTGGCTGTACTCTCTCTCTCTCTCTCTCTCTCACACACTCTCTCTCTCTCTCTCTGTGTTTTGTTAATAATTATTTAACTTTTTATACCCGTTCAGCAAGCAGCGCAGAGTATATGGCCCTAGTCCGCCTGACGCAGCTGGAAATTTGGAGCATAGCATTCATTGATATTCTCGTCTTATATAGCCTGTAGATGTTTAGGGCGTGGCATATCGGAAGTACTTGATGTAGTCTAGCAGTTGCGCCTTTATTTCAGCTGCGAGAGTTGTGGAGCAGA